CCACACACACACACACGCACACATATGAACGTATACTCCCACACAGGCACAATCCTTTTTTCTCTCTCTCTCCCTCCACTTTTTCTCTTCCTTTCTTTTTCCACCTCCATACTCTGCTCTTCTCTCTCCCTCAACCCCTAGCCGGGCCTCAATTTCTGAACTTTTGCTCTTTCTCTCTCCTCTCTCTCCTCTCTCTGTCTTGGTCTTTCTCCCTTTTTCATTTTCTCTGTCTGTTTCCTTACCCTTAACCCCTTGTAGCTACCCTGTCCCCTAAAAATTGTCATAGTGTAACATTATCATTATTATACACGCCTCATGAAAAGCATGATATCACTGCACTTGGTAGGCTAAGGATCCATGCTATTTTTAAACACTTAAATTGTCTCTTCAGATGGGTTATGCCAACCCAGGCCAGACCAGTCACGGCCTCCATATGAGACAAATGAGCCGTGCCTTCATCTTTGCTGTGTCTCCAGCGAGCCCTCGTGTCATCTTTGTCAATCTGGATGCAGCCTGGGCTGGTGGAGCTGTCAAGAGACAGGTTTGATAGAAAAATAATATGATGAAGACTTCGTAGAGGAGATAGAAAATAAAAATGGCATCCGTGACAGAAAAATATTTAGCACTAACTGCTTTTCTTTTTATGTGTTCGTACCAAGTTAACCAAGTGCTCAGTGTAAGACTCCTTCATGCGTCAACTTTTTTAAATGACGTTTATGGTGGAGTCAAACTAAGCAGCCGATGTGAACTTTATGTTGTTCTATACATCACATGTATGAGACATGCTATAAAGTAGAACTCTCTTATAAAACACAAAGTCGCTTATAATCCGGGGGAGGGGGGGTGGGGGGAGGGGGTTTATACTTTGGCTCCAAAATCAGCGTATTTTTTAAAGTCACCTTTATAATACTTGGTGAATCACTGACATGCCGTAGGGGCTGCTAAATGCTATACTGTTGGGCATTCTTCCCCTATGTTGGGCCTGATTTTGGTCGGGGGGGGAGGGGGGGGGAGGTGCAAAGGAGGTATAATTTTGGACCTCAATTTTTTTAATAGATCACTCGTGTTATAGGCAAGTATGTACGGTACAATTTTGAATATGTCGCAGGTCTGTCTATAATGCTCTGTTTCTCATATAAAGGTGGTGTTGATGAACAGAACGGACTATGTCAAACAATTATATTCATATATATTATTATTATTAGGTAAACGGACAAAGGTTAAAATGGAAAATTGTGACTTATGCCGTTTTCTCTAGCACTCCTCACACACTTACTGTTTTCTGTAATAAACAAATGTGTGGTGTAAAAATGTGGATATCTTTCAGGCCAGGTTTGTCGAATGAATAATTAGAATATTAATGTACCTGTTGTTCAATGTGAATGGTTCGGGCCTTAAGGTTTTCATTTCTCTTTTCATTGTCAGTTCTCTCTCCTTCTCTCCCTTTCCCTCTCTAACTTTCTCTCTGATTTCTCTTGCTCGCTCGCTCTCTCCCCATCCCCCTCTCTGTACCTATAGATCTCTCTTTCTGTTCTTTCTCTCTCTCTCTCTCTCTCTCTCTCTCTCTCTCTCT